CTTCAGGCTTTCGAGTGAAATCGCCACAGCCATCAGCTGAACCCCAAGCTGAGGATGCACAAGGTCACCGTCTTGGGGACACTTCTGTACGGAGCGGAGACCTGGACCGTCTACGCAAGCCATGCCAAGAAACTCAGCCACTTTCGTACTAACTGCCTTCGCAGAATGCTGAATCTGAGATGGCAGAACAGGATCCCGGATACGGAAGTTCTCTAACAGATACGAATCCTCAGTCTCCGCCCCATGCAGATACAACTGCAACCGCGATGCGGCGGCAACCTACCAAGACAACTCTTCTAAGGAGATGTCGCCACGAGTGCTCGTCGACAGGGAAGACCAAAGCGACTCTACAAGGACACTGTGAAGCGTTCCCTGAAGCGACTTCATATCAGCCCAGAGACCTGGGAGGATCTCGTCCAGAACAGACCGGTGCAGCCATCTACGAAGCAAACCGAATCTCCGCCGCCACAGCCAAATGGGCCGCTCGCAAGTCTTAGGCGCCTCCGATGTGAAATATTGCCACTCAAACCCCGACCCCCGTCCCTAACGTGCCCGCGCCTCGTCGGCCATCTTTGGAAACAATGCATCAACCGCCGACGGCTACGGTTTCTCCCCCCTTGGACAGTCCCAACTCACTACCGAACTGCCGTTGACCACTACCATCTTCATTATCTCTGCCGAAATTGCCGCGGAGGCGACGACGAAAACGACCACCGCCACCGACCAAAACGCTCCTGACGCCCCGATAGCTACCAACACATTCACCTCACACATAGGCTCGATCAATCGCTTGCGAATCCGTCTCACAGAGACTGGTGAACCAGTGCCTGTAGCGCCAACATACAGTCATCGAATCCGCCTTCACTGTCCACGCAGTCCGCGCATATTTATCCACCGGCCTATTCGGTCACATGCGTATCCATGACAGCAGAATGAACTGCGTTATCGATCCCTATAGCACGCTTTGCTCATCAACCACCTCCAACCCAATCGATTCTCCATCATCCAGCGCGCGGGCACATGCCACATGTGTGATCCAGGCCGTGGCTTGGAAGGTTGCCAACCTACGATCCAACTCAGTCCTCGCAGTCCGCCCACTTGT